GTTGAAGGCTTTCGATGTTCTTCGGAAAAATTGATAGTGAGTACTCGTTCACAAAACACCTTTATTGGTGAGCTTTCGCTGTCTTAACAGCTTCGTCAGACCTTAAATGAAATCAAGTGCTATATCATGCGATTATTACCAATTCATAACAATTAACACATTGACGACCGCGTGAGACGCATTGAATGCACGCGTTGTAGGCCATGTGGGACATCGTGCATACTATACAACTCACGATCAACAGATCATATATCTTGTAACAGTGCATGGTTTTTTAGTTAGTTTCTCTTAATCATTGTATAGTTCAGACCCTGGTGTACTCGTACTATGCGTAGTCCATGGAATAATTCAGTACACACTAGTTTAGCAAATACTTTTTGGGTAAAGATCACCATTTGCTCGGACTGATTTGCTCTTCAACACTGGAATGGTTTGCTCTCCAACACTTAGCTGAGAAATGCTGATCGATACAATGTTGATAATGGTCAAAATTATAGGGTGAAGGATTCTGAACGCTATAGAGGGCACGACACCTTTTTTTTATGAAAACATTGGTTGCGGACGAATTTCTGGCATCTAGTGCAACGAGAGTTAGCCAGCCAGGTTTTTTCTATACTGAAGTATTAACTTACTTCATAACTGCGCTCTAATCCAGTTTTCCGATCCAATTTCCAAAAAAGCGCCTCGTGGGATCGTCTGAACTATGTGTGTACCGCGCTGGTTGCGTTCGAGAAAACGCGCGTGTCCCACGCGGCCAAAAAGTAAAAACGCGCATGTCGTCAACGTGTTAAGTTGCTCGAAATACTTGCGACATCGTGTTCTGCAGCACCAGCAAGAAGCACCACCCACTCTGAAAGTAACTGTCATACACCGCACGAAGGAAGCCCCATTGGAAAGAAAATTGCTCGAAGCGCTCGCTATCAAGCGGCTATCCCCCGAGATCAACAACAGGGAGGAGCTCATGGAAGCAATGAGGCTAATAGGATAGCGGTAGTGATAAAGAAGTACTGGCAAATGTCACGCGCGTCACATTTCTAGCGACTTTTAGTTGCATTGGCAGTTGCGCTGGGGTAAGCTGGTCATCCGTTGTAGTTTGATTGTTTACAGTTGCACTCTTGACATTGTATTAGGAATTGTATTACAGACTCTAACCAAATTGCCGTTGACGGGCAGGTCAACCTGGTTTGTATTTCGAGCAACTTAGTTGTTAGGAATTGTAATACCATGTATACTTGATTTCATTTAAGGTCTGACGAAGCTGTTAAGACAGCGAAAGCTCACCAATAAAGGTGTTTTGTGAACGAGTTCTCATTATCAATTTTCCGAAGAAGATCATATGAATCATGAGGCTCAGGGATAGCTCGATTTTATCACAGCTTTCGATGATGATCAATCATTTTTTTTGGATGCACCGTTGTATTTTTTGCACCTCGTTGCCCTCGTTTTTGGTTGCACCTCGTCTCCACTGGCGGTCGATTCTTGAAGGCGATTTGGCCTACACAATGTCATGTGGAGATAGCCAGAGAAAAGCCACTGCTCTGCCTTCCCACAGTCTGATTACAACTTGGAGACCTGGGAGAGAGAGGGCCCCAAGTTCCCTTCAGCCCGCAGGAAAGCCACTATGAGACTGGATCCCCTGACCACATGCTTCTTGAGCGGCTGCACTCCCCACTATACTACCTATGCCCTAACATGACGCAGCATGGCGACGGGTGGGAGGTCCATTTTACATTTTCGCTGCTTCCTACTGTCGTGCTCATTGCTTTACGAGAGTTGGCACGTATTGAGGGTTTGGCTGGTATCACATGGCTTCTCAAGATTTCGCATATCTCCACTTGATTCAGGCTCTACATGGCAATAGGAAGCAGTGGAAGCACCGAACACGCCACCTCCCCACGTCGCCGAACTGACATTGATATATTCCTAAATGTGTGCAAATAATATCGAAACAGGCGCTGTTCGCCCCGGAGGGGCATTTTGCACATTCGCCAGTTCCTCTCGCTAGTTCAGGTTGAACAACAGGTCCCACTTCGGTGAGGCATGCAAGCTCCCGTGAATGCGAAATGGTACGAAAGGGGCCATTTCAGTCACAGGATTTTACTGATTTTCAAAGAGGCCTGTACAAGCTCACCTGAGTATCGTTCTATGCCCCCACCAAGCCGAATAGCTCCCTACAGGCATTATAGGGAAAGGTACCCTCTAGAAAATACCGTGAACTTCAAGCACTGTATTACCGCGCTTACTGTGTCTGTTCTATCTAGCTGCGACCTGTTAAGGCAGAATAATGCCCTAAAGATGAACCGTATAAGCATTAATGGTACCTTTATCATTCGATCCAGACAGAGCTTTTTCCGATTTAGCTCTCTTCTTCTTCTTGAGTGGTACGGAAGAGCCATCGGTTTCATTCTGAGCAAAAAGAGAACTTATGAAAACTAAGCTTGACAAAAACAGAGGAAAAAAAATGCGATCCTCCTTCACAGCTTAGAACCTACCTCGCACTGAGGCTCACTTTCCTTGTTAGGCAAATTCTGCTCTACATCCTTTTCGTCGCTTTGCACAGACTCACTGGTTCTTTTAGCTGCATCTATTGGACCTTCGGTGTCCACATTCTTCACTCGCTTTCTGCGAATAACAGTCGCTTGCTCCTCTAGTCGCAGTTTCTTCTCTTTGGCAGGGGCCTTCATCGCAGGTAAACTACGCCTACCCGACACCTTCTTTTCCGCAGTTTCCCCAACCTTGTCCCGTATGGGTGGCCCTCGTTTTCGTCGCACCTCCTTCTGATCTGTACCAACTACGGCAGTAGAGCTCGGCGATGCTTCCGGACTCATATTGGTGTCCTCGTTGGCAGACCGCTCTTTAGGACCAGTCCCTTTGCCGGTCGACTTGGGCGAGACCTGCACAACTAATGAGCGCCTACGTGTAGTAACCATCTGAAATTGTAAATCATCACATTCTTGTTGAGTTTGTGATCAAAACGTCATCATCATCGTACAAGGGGCCTATACCGAAGCGCCATCATCGTCGTAAAAGAGCACTTCTTGTTGGGTCACGGAAAAGTGATATTTGCCGCGCATGCGCAAGACTAAGTTGCGAAGTCATGGTCACCTGCAGCCTTACAGACTGAGCCAGGACAAGGAAACGAATCACTTTAGCTACAACAGTCATAGGGCTCTTAGTTGTAGCGGGGCGCACAACAAGCATTAGTGCGGGAACTGCAGTTGAGGTGCGGGGGGATACGGATGCACGCAGGAATCCGCGCCCGGAGAGGCCGCAGGGGTTATGCTCGTCTCCGTTCTTCTAGATTCGGCCTAAATGGGGAAAGGACCACTTCAGCTCCCGCAACCTAACTCAGGGACAGGTTGGACAGGCGACGAGAACTTGCTGTTGGCTCAGTTCTGAGCAAAACTGCATTTCGTTTTGAGCGTACAGCAACATTTTGAGCGTTTACAGCGCGAGCAGTTTTGACCTTTTGGCGGGCAGTCGCTGAAAACGCTAGATCGATATCCAACTCTCCTAGTCGCTCAAAACCCTCAAAACGCAGAGTGACCCCAGTCTTACCACGCCCCTTCCGCCGCAACCTAGAACTAATGATCAACACAAGCAACCGTTTACTGCACTGATCCTGAGGATCGTACAGCTCATACTGGCACGATTTACACCATTCATGTAGTAAAGAGCTGCTAATTTTCAACAGCTAATATACTATTCAAAGCGACTACAGCTATTCTAAAATTTATTCAACAATTTCATTTGAACAAGCTATTCTATAGCACAGATACCATGATTAAGAGCACAACGAGAGGTAGAGATAAAACGATAACGGTCACTTTTCAAGGTCAATTCAACAATTGCAAGCCCAAGCGTTGAACATGGAAAAAAGTGCGATAGAATTGCACATTTCATCGGGCCTTCGATAAAGCCCTACGATGAAACCATGGAAATTCGTTAGAGTATAAACTCAACGAAGACTGTTGCATTTGTGATCACATCAGGATAATATCAAAGCTACAATGGGCTTCCCGTAGTACTAAGATAAAACTATAACAATTTCGAGAGTCACATCTAAATAATATGAGATCCATATGTACAAACTTTAAGGACATTTCAACAGCAACGAAGACGTTAACTCCAAGTATAGCAAAATGTGTCACCATAGCTGACAGGCGTAACGCGGCGGCACGGCGATACATTCATGCCCCGCTCCGCAGGATCAGACCCAGGAAAGCTAAATGAGCGCCAAACAAACATCAGATATCATACATTTATGAGATAATTATATTGTAATCATCAGAAATGCAGTTTAAAAGGAGTTAAGTCTTAGGAGGGTAAGGGGGGGGATCATACGTTATGTACACATAAAAGCAATTTCAAAATAAAACAATTACGATAGGAACTAGCAGCTCGAGATGAAACGCGATTCCCATCAAGAAGGTAAAAAAGACTGAAGCAACTAAAGTTGTTGAAGATCAGATTTTGAGTAAGGAGATTAGTTAGCTGAGGATTAGCGGAGATTATGAAAAACGAAACAAACGAAATATTTAAAACGAAAAATGATCAAGGTAGATTTTCTAGATCTGGAGCTAACGTTTCAGATTCATTAGGTCATCGTGGGTAAAGAC